GCCTCCCCGCTCCCCGTTATGTGCTTGCACACACACAGGCAGACACACATGTAGAGGCCGAGGCAGGAAGACCCTAACATGGAGGCAGAGGCACGGAGAGACACAGCGATGGGCAAGGAGAGACGGTGGGAGACAGGCTGATGCCATCGGAGAGGGAAATGGCAGGGGAATCAGAGAGGCTCCCTGCTGTGACCACAGAGAGGGCCCCGGGCAGATGGCGCCCCGCATGGCTGCGGGTCAGAACCGGCCAGGCGCCCGGGGACCAGCCGAGGGCTGGGCAGTGGGCTCCGTCCGGGGCGAGTGCTGTCCTCACACCACAAGGAGGTCGGGGAGGGAGTCATTTGTCCGAGGCCCCGCGCAGCTTCCCGCCCAGCACACGGGTGTTTTCTCACCGGGGAGGGCCCGCTTTCTCCCGCACGCACGTCTCTCTCCTCCGGGACACCATCCACACCGCCGAGCAGGTGGGAGCACCCCCCCCACCCAGCCCGCCTGCTACTCTGTCGCTGCTGCAGGAACACCCGGAGGCAGCTGGCCTCTCTGCACTGAGTCTCTGCTTCCTGCCAGGCACCCCCTGCGGCTGGCACACTCCTGGGAGTGCTGGGCAGGGGACACCCCAACTGGGGACCCTTACCCGATGGAGGAGGGGAGTCGGTGGGTGAACACGCCCCTCTTCCAGCTCCAGAGGACAATTCTGAGTGAACCCTAGCTGGTTTGGCTCAGTGGATGGTGCGTTGGCCTGTGGACTGAAGGGTCCCCCATTCCGTCCCTGTCAAGGGCACATGCCCGGGTTGTGGATTCCCCAGTAGGGGGGCGTGCAGAAGGCAACAGCCAATCAGTGATTCTCTCTCTCCAATGTTTATATCCTTCTCTCTCTCTGTGATATCAATAAAAATATATTTTTTAAATAATCCTGAGGTGCCTTCTCCAGGGCTCCTTGGAGGGATGGCTCCCCATCGTCCACAGCAGTGACGCAGGGTGTCACACCTATTTCCTGCCTCCTTTCCCCAGGAGCCCCGGGCCATAAACCACCTGCGGGCGGCCGGGTGGCCGGGTGCAGGCTCTGTTTTCAGCCCCAGATGGGCTCTCGCTGAGCTCAGCCCCGGGGGAGCCAGCCATCTCCTCTCCTCCCCCTCACTTTCCCCAAGACACCAGGCCTCTGCTCCATCTATTGTTTGCTGGCTTCAGGAGCCACCACATCTCCCCAGGGGGCAAATCACTCTTGTTTATCCAGCGACGGGCAATTCTCTGCAAAAAGAGATGCCTTCAGCAGAGAGGCCTCCTATCCTAGCGGATCCTGGGGAGCCCTCGTCATAGGCAAGTCAGTCATGGTCTCAGGTTGTGCGGGTACACGCATGTGTGTGGGTACATGCATGTGTATGTGTATGTGTGTGCTTTAAAGATAGATTCACTGTGTCTTTGATTGGAAAAGCAATGCATGCCCATCGTCCAGATTGCAACAATATAAAACGTGTAGCTTGAAAGCTGAAGGCACCTCCCAGCCTTTTCCCTGAATGTGCCTTTCAATGGTCAGGACATTTTCAACATCCATCAATAAGGCCTGATGCCGCCCTCAGACACAGCGTACAGTGGCGTTTCTTCCCAGGGTGATCATCGATTCATTCAACAACTGTCTGAGTACTTATTAGGAGCCCCTACTGGAGAGGCAGCTGTGAGGGAGGGCCGTGAGGCTCCAGCCTGGCCGCTGTCTCCGGCGAGTTGCATGTTCCTGGTCTCCTCTGTGGGCAGCTCTCTCGCTGGAGTCTTTACCCAACAGCCTCTGGCTCCCGGGGAGGCCCCGGGGCGGGGGAGGGGGTTAGCAGCTGTCCCAGGGGCTTCCCACATCCACAGTAAGGGCTGTGCCCACGCCCAGAATGCAGAGCAGGATGGGGATGTGCTGTGTGCCTCCCTGCTGTCGAGCCTTTGTCAGGAGCTCCAGTCCCCTGACCAGACCCTTCCCTCCGACCCCGAAAGGCCCCGTTTGGGGTCTCTGCGGCCACCTGCGCACAGTGGCCTGGTGCTCTGGCAGAGCTGGCAGGCGTCCTGAGGGCAGGGGCTGGTCTTCCCTGACGCCGGGCCAGGCTGGCACCCACTGTGTGCTCTCAGCGCACATCTGCCGATCAGGTGCCCACGGCACAAGAGGAGGCTGTGGAAGGGTGGGGCAGAGAGGCCAGTAGTCAGGGCAGGGATCAGGGCTTTTAGCAGGGGTATCTCTGTGTGGCGCCCCCTTCACAGTGGGGAGGAGCACTGGGGGCACAGGTGATGGCAGAATCCCAGCAGGAAATCCACGGGGCCAGGAGCTAAGGGTTGGCTTATGTGCCTGGAAAGGGGAGGGACTCACAGAGGGACCATGTGGGTGGCCCTTGTGCCAAAGCAGGCCAAACAGTATTTATCAGCTCTTTTCTTTCTTTCTTTTTTCTCTTTCTTCCTTTCTTTCTTTCTTATTTTTTATTGTCTAAGTTTTACATAAGTCTCTTTTTTCCCCAATTGACTCTCCCTGCCCCCCCTCACCCCAGCCATTCTCACCCTGGGCAAGTCACTACTGCCCCAGTGTGACTTGTGTCCATGGTTATGCTAATATGCATGCATACAAGTCCTTTGGTTGCTCTCTAACCACCGCCCCTTCCCCCAATCATTTGTCTCTGGATCTATTCATATTCATCAAATTATGTTGATCATTATATCCCACATATGAATGAGACCATGTGATAGCTGTCTTTCTCCGATTGGTTTATTTCGCTTAGCATGATGCTCTCCATTTCCATTCATGCTGTTGCAAATGGTAGAAGTTCCTTCCTTTTTACCGCAGCGTAGTATTCCATTGTGTACATGTGCCACAGTTTTCTAATCCACTCATCTGCTGATGAGTACTCAGGTTGTTTCCAAATCTTAGCGATGGTGAATTGTGCTGCTATGAACACAGGGGTGCATATATCCTTTCTGATTGGTGTTTCTTTTCTTTTTTTAAAATATATTTTATTGATTTTTTACAGAGAGGAAGAGAGAGGGAGGGATAGAGAGCTAGAAACATCAATGAGAGTCATCAATCAGCTGCCTCTTGCACACCCCCTACTGGGGATGTGCCCGCAACCAAGGTACATGCCCTTGACCGAAATCGAACCTGGGACCTTTCAGTTCTCAAGCCGATGCTCTATCCATTGAGCCAAACCTGTTTCGGCCTGATTGGTGTTTCTGGTTTCTTGGGATATAGTCCTAGGAGTGGGATTACTGGGTCAAATAGGAGTTCCATTTTTAACTTTTTGAGGAAACTCCATACTGTTCTCCACAGTGGCTGCACCAGTCTGCATTCCCACCAGCAGTGCAGGAGGGTTCCCTTTTCTCCGCATCCTCACCAGCACCTGTCGTTTATTGATGACAGCCATTCTGACAGGTGTGAGATGGTATCTCGTTATTTTGATTTGCATCTCTCGGACGATTAGTGACTTTGAACGTGTTTTCATGTGCCTCTTAGCCTTCTGTATGTCCTCTTTCGAAAAACATCTATTTAGGTCCTTCCCACTTTTTTTATTGGATCGTTTGTCTTCCTTTTGTTACATTGTATGAGTTCTCAGTAAATTTTGGAGATAAAACTCTTATCTGAAATATCATTAGCCAATATGTTCTCCCATGCAGTGGGCGGCTCTCTTTTTATTAATACAGGTCCCTTCGTTACACACAAGAATCATGCCTCCTTTAACTTCAAAATGGATGTTTGGACACATTCAGACAATGGAAAGACAATGGAAAGAGTGTGCTTTTTTTAATTCTCCTCCTCCTAGATCTGATGTGAGGTCCCCCCACTTTTAGAATCAAAGCCCAGACAAGCTGGAGCGGAGGTGGGCAGCTTTTCAGAATCAGTATGAGGGACTGACAGGAACAGCTGTGACAGGATCCATTCTCCGATGACTCCATTGGGAGCTGATGCCCAGGCACTGGAACAGGACTCATGGATGGCACCTGGGGGCTCCAGGAGGCAAGTCCATCCGGGGCCTGGATGGCTGAGTTCCTGTCGGACCCATTTCCTCTGCCCTCCCCAGGGGAGCCCATCCCCTAAAATCCTCAGCAATCCCTTCCCCTTCCCACATGCTTTTATTCCCAAACCACCCATCTGCTCCGAGGTGTTCCGTCCAGTCCAAGGACAGCCATTTATACCAAGATGTAAGAGATTGATAGGCGTAACCGCTGGCACGTGAGATTTTATTTTTTAAATTATTTTTATTTATTTTTTAAAAAAATATATATTTTATTTATTTTTTACAGAGAGAAAAGGAGAGGGATAGAGAGTTAGAAACATCAACCAGCTGCCTCCTGCACACTCCCCACCGGGGATGTGCCCGCAACCAAGGTACATGCCCTTGCCCGGAATCGAACCTGGGACCCCTGGGTCCGCAGGCCGACGCTCTATCCACTGAGCCACACCGGCTAGGGCGGCACTTGAGATTTTAAATGGGAGTTTGTCCATTCCAACACATCCTCTCAAACAGGTGGGATGTGCACGGCGGCTCTCTCCCAGCTCCACGTGCCCACCGGCCCCTCCTACTCCCGCGCGCCCGGAGCCGGAGCAGCTGCGGCCCTTGGGCGGCGGAAGGCGCGGCCCCTCGCCCGGCACTCGGGCCGCCGGAGGGGCGGGGACACGGCCCGGCCCGCCCGGCCCGGCGCGTCCCAAACCTCAGCCCCGGCCTCCGCGCGCCGGAAGGAAACCGCCGCGGAGGAGGGGGCCCCGGGGGCGCCTCACCTGCCGCAGGGCCCCTCCCGGCTCTCCTCTCCGGGCGCCGGGCCGCGGGGGCGGGAGGCGTCCCCATCCCTCTGCCCACGCAGCAGCGCCGCCGCCCGCCGCCGGGTCCGGGGCGCAGGCCCCTCGGACCCCCGCCCCGCCCCGCGCGCCTCCCCCTCCCCAGTCCCTGCGCGGGGCCCGGGCCCGGAGCCCGGAGCCTCACCGCCCCCCGACTCCCGGACGGCCTCGCCGAGAGGGCGGCGTCTGAGGGGGGGAGGAGGAGGAGGAGGAGGAGAAGCGGGAGGAGGGAGGGGCGCCGCCCGCCTCCGGGGGCTGGAGCGCGCGTGGCCCCGGCGCCGCCGCGCCGCGGGGACTCGGCTGGCACCGCTCGGCGCGGGCGGCGGAGGATGCAGGCGGGCTGCCCCGGCCTCGGCCCGCGCTCCCGCCGGGAGGGCCCCGCGTGCGCCCCAAGCCGTGCCGCCGCCGCCGCCGCCTCGGTGCCGAGAGGGTAGGGGCCGCCCGCTGCCCCGCGCACGCCCGCCCTGGTCCCGGGCGCCCCGGGCTTCCCAGCCCCGGCGCCCCCCTCCCCCGCGGCCGGGCGCCGTGGACACTGACGGCGGGGGAGCCGCGCTGCGGCCGGGGTGCGGGGCCGTGGCGCTGGCCGGGCGGCGCGGCCCCGCGGGGAGCAGCCCCCGGGCGCGCTGAGCCTCCCGCTCGGAGTCCCCGCACAGGTGAGCGCGCCGGGGAGGGACGGAGGGAGGCGGCCTTCCGGGGGCGCGGGGGCCGGGGGGCTGGGGGAGAGGAGGTGAACAGAGGGCAGATTCAGGGATCCCCGGGGCGGGCGGCCCGGCTTCTGTCTGGCGCGCTGTGCCCACCGCGTGGGCCTGGAGGAGGCTTAGGTGAGCAAGTCAGGGACCCAGAGAGGAGAGATCACGGGGGAGGGAGAGGCGGGGTGCGAGGGATGCAGTGGGGGCCGGGGCTCCGCGAGCAAAGGCAGGAACCAGTGTCGGGGCGGCCAGTGCGGACGGAGGAGCGTGTGGTCCGTGGTGGCAGGAGCTGGCGGGCCGGGGGAGACCTGGCTCCGCAGCCTCGGGGCACTGGCGTGGGCTGGGCGGGTCGCAGGGAAAGCCCAGGCCGGGGGAGTGGGGACAAGGGTTGGGGGTAAGAGCTGCTCCACTTCGGAGGTGTCCTTTGCTCCAGATGACCGGCGCAGCCTGTGCCCTGGAGACCCGTCCTGCGCCCGCGCGGAGGTGACCGGCGCTCCGCCTCCCCGGGGCCCCAGAGCCCCGCCAGGCGGTGGCCCGCCCAGAGAGAGGGGAGAACCCGCAGGCCGAGCCCCACCAGACGCCAGCCAGGATGCCCAGGCACCGGCAGGGCTCCTTCGAGCCCGAGCAGCCCTCCGCCGCCGAGCCCTCGGCCAGCCTGCCCTCGGACCCCGACGCCCTTCGCGCCGGCCGCACCCACGAGGTGTCCGTGCGGAGCGTGGGCGCCTGCCTCTGCCTGCCCGGCTGCCTGCGGCCCACCTTCGTGCCCGAGTCCCTGGAGAGCCTCTACCAGACCTACTTCCGGCGGCAGCGCCACGAGACGCTGCTGGTGCTGGTGGTGTTCGCCGCGCTCTTCGCCGGCCACGCGCTGGCCGTGTGCGCCGCGGCCTTCTCGGCGGACCGCCTGGCCCCGCTGGCCGCCGCGGGCGCCGGGCTGCTGCTGGACGCGCTCCTGTTCGTGCTGTGCCGGAAGGGGCTGCTGCCCAGCCGGGTCACCCGCAGGGCCGTGCCCTACCTGCTGTGGCTGCTCATCTCCGCGCAGATCTTCGCCCACCTGGGCCTCAGCGTGCCCGCCGGCGCCCACGCCGCCAGCGACACGGTGGGCTGGCAGGCCTTCTTCGTCTTCTCCTTCTTCATCACGCTGCCCCTGGGCCTCAGCCCCATCGTGGTCCTCTCCGTGGTGTCCTGTGCGGCGCACACGCTCGTGTTGGGGGTCACCGTGGCCCAGCAGCAGCAGCGGCAGCAGGACAGGCTGAAGGGGATGCAGCTGCTGAGGGAGGTGAGTTGGGCCTTCTCGGCTCCCGGTGTCGCCCTGGGCTTCCCCTGCCCACTGGGCTTGCAGCCCCGGTGGCCCCTGTTTCAAAGGTGGGGGAGGTGGGGTCATGGTTCCCTTTGCCCTTTTGTCAAAATGTGCCCTGGGTGGCACCCCTACCTCCCCTTCTCTCAGCCACCTGTGCAGGGAGTACCTCCTCCCTCCCTCCCTCTCTCTCTCTCTCTCTCTCTCTCTCTCTCTCTCTTTTAATGTATTGATTTTTCACAGAGAGGAAGGGAAAGGGATAGATAGCTAGAAACATTGATTGGAGAGAAGCATCGACCAGCTGTACACCCCCCACTGGGGATGTGCCCGCAACCAATGTACTACATGCCCTTGACAGGAATCGAACCTGGGACCTTACAGTCCCCAGACCGAGGCTCTATCCACTGAGCCAAACCGGTTTCGGCTGGACCTCCTCTCTTTGAACCCCTGGCCTTGCACCAGAGTTGGGCCCGAGGGACATTGGGCCTCAGGGCCACTGGGCCACCTGTGCCCAGCTCACGCGGGTGGCGGCAGGAAGGCCTGCCGGGGCCCGGTCTCGAGGCAGCGCTGTCCTGGCTGTGCTCTCGTTGACCTTCGGCAGGAGGGCCTTGCCCCCCGCTTCTTGGGCAAGTGACTGACTCGTGTGGCCTTGGCATCCCTCTGCCAAGTGGCCGGTGCCTGCCAGCGCCGTGTGGCTGCTGTCGAGGTCCAGGGGAATGCGGGTGAAAGTGTGAGTCCCTGGGAGATGGGGGGAAGGCAGGCGTGATTGTCACAGGCCCCAGGTCTGCCGCTGGGGCCCAGGGTCCCTCGAGCAGTTGGATGATCGGAGGAGGCGTGGGGTGGGGACACAGGCGGGGGACAGTGGTGCCAGCCACGGCGGTGGAGCCTCCTGCTGGAAGGGTGGGCATGTGGCCCCCGCTAACTGCCGTGTCCACGGGTTCCAAGCCCGGCTACGTGTGGAGGGGCCGCAGAGCCCGGCCGGCCGAGTTCACCCCCGGTTACCCACCTGGGTCGGCTCAGCACTCAGCGTCGATGAGTTAGTGCCACAGCTGTGAGCCCCGCCTGCTGCCTCACCGGCCGGAAGTGACCTGCCCGGGCCACAGCTGGGGATGGCGGTGGCCGGCCGGAGTGTCCCCTTCTCGTCCCCCTGCTCTCACACCGCCGCCTCCGTCTCAGCCGAGGCTGTTAGCATTGCCTCCTGGGGCTGAGGGCTGCGCCTCCAGGTGCCCAGCGGGGCCGTCGTGGTTGATGCAAGAACCCCGTGGGGCCGTCCGTCCCACGGCTGCCGCCCTGGTTGGAGGGAAATACCGGTTTTTCTCGGGGTTAACGTTCTCCTCGTTCTTGGACCGGTGTTCTTCCCGGGCCCCATCACGGCTCATGGCCGCGTGGTGCCTCTCGATTCTGCAGGCGCACGTGGGCCGGCCCCCCGGTTTCTCCCCGGGACGTGTTCGGAAGGGGACAGGCTGCCCTGGCTGCCCTGGCTGCCGGGCTGGGGACGCGGCCGGTGCCTCTGCCGGCGGAGGCCCCGGGGCAGCTTCTGGGGCGAGGGTGCGAGCAGCGGGGGCTCTGAGCGTCGGCTGAGGCGCGGCCTGGACCGCAGGCCCGTCGCCCGTCCCCTCTGCCCGGCCTGGGGCAGCAGGGGCGTCCCGGATGCAGCTCCGCTTGTCCACGAGGGAGCGAAACAGAAACTCGTCCCCATCGGAGCCCAGACTCCGGACCCAGAGTTGCTGCGTGTCCTGTGGGGGTTGCTAAGAAACAAAACCCAAACAGACGAGGAAACAGAAAAAAAGATAGAAAAATACTAAGTAAATCCAGAATAACCACGCTCGCATCCCAGGAGAGCGTGGCCGGGACAGGGCGGCAGCGTCCGGGCGGGAGCTCCGAGGAGGGAAGGGGAGTTTGGAGCCTGAGATACGGAGCGCGGGAGGCCCAGGCCTTCAGTGGGCTGCGCTCCAGAAGTTTCTGAGTCACTTGTTTGGGACGAATCTGACTTTCCAAAAGGTGCCTGGGTTCCCAGGCCCCCTCATACACACACACACTGTCCCCCTGGGCACATGACCCCCCCTCCCCCCCCGGGGTGGGGGCACCATCAGGGTAGAAGGGGGTGGGGCCGGAGGACGGGGACTTTGGAAGGGGGTGGCCAGAAACCCCGCCCCCATCAGGGGAACTCCGGGAACTTTCTCCAGGTGCCAGCACCTCCTCGCCTCTCTCCTGCCTGCAGGCTCCCCGTTTCTGTCTCTCCTCCCATCACCTGTGGGCTCCGGCCAGGGACTTCCTCCTGGGTCATTGGGGATGAGCCCAGGCTCACAGTTAGAAGTAGACAGTGGCCCTAACCCGTGTGGCTCAGTGGATAGAGCGTCGGCCTGTGGACTGAAAGGTCCTGGGTTTGATTCCGGTCAAGGGCATGTACCTGGGTTGTGGGCACATCCCCAGTAGGGGGTGTGCAGGAGGCAGCTGATCGATGTCCCTCATCGATGTTTCTAACTCCCTCTCCCTCCTCTCTGTAATAAATCAATAGTGTGTGTGTGTGTGTGTGTATGTGTGTGTATATATATATATATATATATTTTTTTTTTTTTTTTTTTAAAGAAGTGGACTGGATTTCCGGGGTTCAGGGCCCAGGTTGTCTTCCTCTACACCCTCCAGCCCCCCACCCATACTGGGCTCTGTGGGAGGAATCCCGAGAGGCCGGAGCCCCAGGCGGCCTGACAGGCAGAGCCAGGCCATACAGCGGCCTGGGCTCTTTGTGGGGCGGACAGGTGGGCTCCACAGCGAGCAGAGGAAGAACGGGGTAGTGTGGGGTGGGGCGGGGGTGTTGCTGGGGCTTTGTGTATTACTGAATGAGTGAAGGTTCCTGGGCACCTGGTCTGGGCCTTGCAGCGAGCAGGGCCTGGGATGAAGGGGCCAGACGGTGACCGTCGGAGGCTGTGGTGGAGGAGAGCATGGCCTGGGGCTGGGGTTCCGGGGGCTCGGAGGACAGGAGGGCTGAGCTGCCGCGGGCAGGGCTTCCCCACATCCCTCCCCGTGCCTGGGTCCTGGCACCACCAACTTGCCCTTAACTGCCACCAGCTGCGCCTTGGGTGCGGCGAGGTGGCAGCTGGGAGAAGAGGGTGGGAGGGGTTTGAGGGCAGGACCCAGCAGCAGCGGATGGGAGCGGATGAAGGGGAAGGTGGGGGTGAGGAGCACTCCTGAGACGCCCCCATGTGCCCATGTTCCCGTTAGGTCCTCCCAGGGCTGGCGGAGGACTGAGTCTGTGGCAAGTTAGGGGTAAGGACCCCCTGAAAAACACAGCTTTACGTTACAGCAGAAAGGCTGTCGGGGCGCCCAAACCATCGAGAGGCCGAGGGGTGTCCCGGGGAGCGTGCGCAGAATCCACGGGAGGGGGTTCAGGGCCCAGCGTGAGGGAGCAGCCTGGTGGTGGGGGGAGCACCCAGGCCTGTCCCAGCCCCTGCTGCCCGCCGGCTCTCCCTGGTCCCCAGCGGCTTGTGATGGCGGATGGGCCATTGGAGCACAGGCAGCCCAGACCGTTTGCACCCTGGTTCTTGTGGGTGGTGGGAACGGAAGACCAGGGGAGGGTGGTGCAGGGCCGGGGCGTCGGGTCGGGGGCTGGCTGCTCTTGGGTCTGTAGCTGAGCAAGGGCACCGGGTGGGGGGTAATGTGTAGAGAGGCCCCTTGCAAACCTAGAGAACTATCCAAATGCCAGGCATTTGCCTCTCTGCTGCCTTTTCGACCTTCGCTCTGTGAATGAATCAGACCAAGCTCATTTACTGTCCTTTCTCTCACCTCTTTGTGTGGAACCAGCTGGCTCTTTGCTTTTTCTCATTTTGAATGCATTATTTTATTTTTATTATTTTTACAGAGAGGAAGAGAGAGGGATAGAGAGTTAGAAACATCGATGAGAGAGAATCATCGACCAGCTGCCTCCTGCACACCCCCTACTGGGGATGTGCCTGCAACCAAGGTACATGTCCTTGACCGGAATCGAACCTGGGACCTTTCAGTCCGCAGGCCAACGCTCTATCCGCTGAGCCAAACCCTGGTCAGGGCTTGACCGCATTCTTTTAAAGACTGCTCTCCCTTATGAAACGCTTCACGGTGTTGCAGAAGCTTTGGGAACGAGGGAAAACGTAGTGCAGTCCCACCGTGACCATGTTTTTGTGCGGTGTGTTCCATTCTCGTCTTTCCTACGAAAGATTTAACAAGGCCCCAGGCATCGCCCCTACGGTCCTTCCTTCGCGTGAGAGCACAGGCTTTTTGCGTTTTGAATTAGTCTTCCCAGCCCCCATTCCTAACGGCTGCGTCTGACACTGGCTAGGAGTGCTGTAATTAAGCGTTCCTTGTCTGTAGGACGCTGGGTTACTCTCAGTGAACTCACCGTAGGGTTTCCTTATTTACGTGCAGCCCCAGCAGGCCCTTGCTCTCCTCCCCTCCCTCCTGGCCACGGGGGTGTCTGGTGCCTCTTGCTCCTCCGATCGCTGCTGCTTCCAGCAGAACTCCTCGTGGTCCCTGAGCGATCGGCTTTCATTAGCAGCGAGACCGTCCCGTTGCGTCCCCCTGTCCTCTCTTCGGGAACGTTTTCCTGGTTGCAAACTGAAAATGAAAATGACATGTTTCCGAGCAAATCCCACCCCACGCTGGAGCCCCGTTTGAAACCCCCGGGTGAGAGGCCTGGATTTGAACTTGGCGAGATCTCCATGGCTGTGGTTTGTTGGTGCCAGCTGAGTGGGATCTGGGTGGGTAAGGCCTGCCCCAGCTCCGCGGGGGCTCCTCAGCTGCCCTGGCAGGCTGAGCTTTCCGCCCAAAGGGGCGGGAGTGGGGGTGTGGGCCGTGCGTCCTTCGTTGCGGAGCGAGGGGTCCGGAGGGCTGTGAGCTGTGTCCCCTGCTCCTGGGTGGCCGCCTCTGTTCCTTTCCTCCAGGGCTGGCGGCGCACCCCTCCGGACCCTCATCGCTGGGTTCGGGGCGGACGGGATCGTGGGGCTCAC